TCGGTGCCCGCGTGCGTGGTCGCTGCTGGGGGGCAGGTGTGCGAGCCTGACGTGTGCCCCCTCGGTGCCCCGCTGCCTACGGGACCTGCGGGCTTCACAGCGACCCCACGGGACGGGGTCGAACCGCCCCTGCGGGCTTCATACACTGGCACAAACGTAAGAGTGTGAGGGTGGTGCAGGACCGGCGTGTTTGGTTCTGTGGTACGTGAGTCAGAACCCTGGACAACTCTTCACTGGGGTAGAAAGCCCCGTCTTCTCAAAGCGAGGCTGATGGTTTGAAACTGCTAATGGAGTCGTTAGCACCCCACTCATAACCACTATGCCACCCGAGTGGTGCTATATGCATTGTGCATCTTGTGTTGTGTCTGTGTGTCTGTGCGGTGTGTCCATGTGCTACCTTGTGCTTCTGTGGTGTGTGTCTGTGTGTGCTATGCCTCTCTGTGTGTATGTGCTGCTGTGAGCCCATGTGCCCATGTGTATCTGTGTATGATATGTACAGTGCCCTGTGTGGTGTCCAGGATAGCTGTGTGTCCATGATTCTCGGGGTGTGTCCAGGCACAGGCCAGTGTGAAGGAGTCTGGCCACTCCTGGGTGCCTCTGCCCCCCAACCCCCCACCCCCACACACCTGCATGCAACTGTGCACACCTGTCCACTGAGCAGGCTCACCCTCTTCCCTGCAGGGTGCCTTCAGCCGCTGCTACAAACTGACCGACATGTCCACCAGCGTCGTGTTCGCCCTCAAGGTGGTGCCGCGCAGTGGGGCCGGTGCCGGGCGCTTTCACTCCTGGGGGAAGGTATGCCCCCATCTGTGCCCAGAGGGCCCCACACCAAGAGCTGGCTCCCAGACCTGCCCTCTCTTCCGTGGTGGTGGTAGAGTGGGTGCCCGTGGGCATGAGTGCAGTCCTGTGCGCCTGTGGGTGTATGCATGTGGAGGCCGTCTACCCCCACAGGTGGAGCGTGAGATCGCTCTGCACAGCTGCCTGCGACATCGAAATATTGTGGCCTTCCACGGACACTTCGCTGACTGCGACCACGTCTACATGGTGCTGGAGTACTGCAGCCGCCAGGTACTGGCGGAGGGGCAGGGCTGAGGAGGCAGAACCCAACGCCCACCTGCTGATTTGCCAGATTGTCCCTTGCACTGCTGTTTCTACCTATGTGCACGTGCCCAGTGTGCATCTTTGCCTCCACCTTGTCGAGTTGTTGTGCTTTCTGTGCCCTCCCTTCACTCACTTGCATCCTTACGGGCTCACCTGAGTCCCCTGGGAGCCCACCAGCTCCCTGTGCCCATGTGACTTTCTTGCTTCCATGCTCACCCAGACCACCCCACTCCCTGTCAATCAGACCCACCCTACAATCGGTCATGCCCACCCTACTCAGCCAGACCCACCCTGGCCTGATGAATGTAGTTGTGCCTTTGTAGATGCTTTGAACTCACTCTGCTCACTTATGCACACCTGAGCTCCATGTCCCCTTGTGCTCCACTTCTGTCACTGTGGCTTCTCAAACTCACCTCAAACTGAAACCACCGGCTTGTCTGAGCTCGTATGTGCCTGCTTGGGCTTGTCTGCAGCGCCATGCTCACAGACACCCACCTGGACTCTCCCTGCTTACCTGTGTCCTGCCTGCAACCAGCCATGCCCACCTTAGCCAAGTTGGACTTATCTTTGCCTTCTTGGGCATCTTGAATACCCGATGCCCACCTGACCGATACTCACCTGTGTCTGCTTGGTGCTGTGGCATCTGTCTGCAGTCTTTGGCCCATGTGTTGAAGGCTCGACAGACGCTGACGGAGCCAGAGGTGCGCTACTACCTTCAGGGCCTGGTCAGTGGGCTGCGCTACCTGCACCAGCGGCGCATTGTGCACCGAGACCTGAAGCCGAGTGAGTGCCCTGGATGGAGAGAGCCCATGGGGGCGGGGCTGAGTGTGACTTCACCTACCACCGCCCCCCAACCTCCACCCCCCACCCATGGCAGGTAACTTCTTTCTGAGCAAAGACATGCAGGTGAAGATTGGAGACCTGGGGCTGGCGGCCAGAGTGGGGCCGGGGGGCCATTGCCACCGGTGAGTCTGGGAGGAGCTGAGCAGTCCTCTGGGTGGACACAGGGGAGAGTCTAGGCCTGACACAGGGGCCCTGCCCTCCTGAATCCCACTTTCCCCCTCCCAGAGTGCTCTGCGGGACCCCAAACTTCCTGGCCCCCGAGGTGGTTTCCAGGAGTGGGCACTCCTGTCAATCGGACATCTGGGCTCTGGGCTGCGTCATGTGAGTGAACCCCTGGGGCCCCTGGGCCTGGGGGCCAAAGGCAGGACTGCCCAGGTGGATCAGGTATGGACAGGCAGGAGCACATGTTGGCAAGGTTGGGCAGGTGTAATAAGTATGTATAGGGAAGGGTGGCTGAAGCCGTGGACACGTTTGAGCAGGCACAGAACAGATGGGGATGGGTGTGTGGGATTGGGTAGGTAGGAACATGCACTTGCCATCATTTGACTGTGTAAATATGAATAGGGCACAGGTGGAAATGTGTGTGAGGGGCAACAGGTGTGCGCAGGTGAGTGCCTATGTGGACAGGTGGGGACTGCACAGGTAGATGAGGAAGCAGAGCAGGTGTGCAAATGTAGAATATAGATCTGGAAATGTGCCAGCCTATGTACGTGTGCTCCCCAAGGGGCAGTGCTGTGTGGGCGGGCAGAGGAAGTGCAGGCTGAGCATGTGCAGACTCGGGTCATGGGAGACAGGCTCAGGTGTGCACAGGGAGGAGCAAGCAGATCCGGGGAGGAATCCAGACAGATGCCAGCAGGCACCCTGGCTCCTGCCCCCACCCGGCCCAGGTACACGGTGCTGACCGGCGCTCCGCCCTTCACGACAGCACCGCTGTCGGAGATGTACCAGAACATCCGAGATGGCTGCTACCCAGAGCCCGAGAACCTGTCGCCAAATGCGCGCCACCTCATAGCCCGCCTGCTGGCCCCCAACCCCGCTGAGCGGCCCAGCCTGGACCAGGTCCTGCAGGATGCCTTCTTCACACAGGTGGGGACCATCCACAGGTGGGCAGTTCCTGTGCCCACTTGGCCTGGCCTGGCCCTCTTTGGGGGCAGGGTGGGTGCCACTGGGTGCCTCAGGGGCTGGGGCTTGGAGCCAGGCAGGTCAACTTAGCCAGTAAATAAGTACACACAGGTTTGTGTGTGCATGTTACATGTTAATCTGCACCCTTGTGTGTTTCTGGATGCTAATCTGCTCCCATGGGTACCTGTATGTGCTAAGCTGCGCCTGTGGGTGCCTGCATGCTAACTGTACCTGTGAGTATTTCCAGGTGCTAAGCTGTACCTGTGGGGGCCTTGCTCATTAGGTAGCCCATCCCTGCCAGGGACCTGAGCTGGTGGTGACTCCTTGTTCCCCCAAAGGGTTTCACTCCAGCCCGGCTGCCCCCCCACTCCTGCCACAGCCCACCCATCTTCGCCAATCCCCAGGCTCTGGGAAAGCTTTTCCGGAAGGTGGGCCAGCTGCTGCTGACCCAGTGCCGGCCACCCTGTGAGTACTCAGCAGAGCGCCCCCCCCCCCTCTGTCCAGAGCTCACACTTGCCTGCCCATGCCTGCCCTGTCCTTGTACAGCCCCTACCTGTCCCAACCCTCACCCACTGAGCCATACCCAGCCTGTTTGACAGCATCTCCACTCGCATGGCAGAGGTGGGTGTAGGGCAGGTGTCTCTCCCTGCACACGGGGTTCAGGCCCTGTGCTCCAAGTGTGCTGTGCCTCCTCCAGGTCCCTTCATGCCCAGAGAGACCTCAGGACCAGAACAGGGCCCGGAGCTGGACTCCATGGAGCATGACAGTGAGGTGAGGGACTGAGGACAGACAGATAGGTGTGGAGGACTCTCCCCAGAGCCCCAGAGCCCACCCCAGCCCCTTCCATACAGCTTCCCGGGACCCCTCTGGGTCCCCAGCCCTGGATTCTTTTACCCTGCCTCCCATCTGGGTCCAGCTTTGTCCTGTGCAGCCTGGGGTTTCCCGGGGCCAGGCCCTGCTACCTGACTGACTCCACCCATCTGCTCACTCCCTTGAGTGGCTACTGTGTGCCTTTAGGGATTAGTCTGACCCTAGGGGTGGGGTGGGATGGGGACTGAGGGAGAGTCCAAGGGTCTCCTGGAAGGGCTGCAGGGGATCTAGTGCCCCTGTCACTCACCTCAGGTCTCTCCTAGGGGTCTGAGGGCCCCCCATCCTTCACTCTTTCTGCAGGCCTCCTTGTCTGAGAGAGGGCTGCCCTGTCCTGAGGCACCTGTCAGCCTGCTCACTCAGGGGATCCTCAAGAGTGACCCTGAGGGTGAGCAGAGCCCAGACTGTGAAGGTTGCATGTCTTCTCCTGATCAACAGAAGATTTTTCCTGTGAGACCTGTCTGTCCCCTTCCCTCCCTGCCCCCTCTTCCTGCCTCTCCGCCCTCCCCCCTCCATCTGTCTCTCCAGGGCTTGAGGATGGCCCCTGGCCAGAGGTGGAAGCTGCTGTCCGAGGCCTGAAGCTCTGCCTGCATGCTGGCCCCCAAGGTAAGAGCTCCACCCACAGGGTCTCTCTGAGAGTCCGTAAAGCCTCCTCCCTTCCTGGCTCTTTGGGGCATTTCTGGGAGACAGCGTGGCTTCAGGGTCCACAGCCCTCAGGCAAGGTACTGACCATTCCTGTGCCTCCCTGACCTGTGATCTCAGAGTGGTAATCACTGTATCCCAACCTACTTGTGATTTCAGAGTGGGGTCACTGTATCCCCACTGACCTGTGGTCTCAGAGTGGGGTCACTGTGCCCCCTCTGACTTGTGATCTCAGAGCTGTGACAGTGGTCACCAAGTGTGTGAGGCCTCTTCTTGCTCATCACACAAAGTGGGAGCGGCCCTGGGGTGCACTGGGCAGTGCTCAATGCTCACCTGCAGCCCCACCCACCAGAGGCCCCACAGGAGAAAGATGTGGTGCTCACCCACAGGGATGAGGACAATGCTCAAACCCAGTGTCCAGGGGGTCCGGATTTATGGCTGCCCTGCAGGACAGCACAGAGCTTGATACCCCTCCTCCTATTGTGTCCCTGTAACACCTTGACCAAGCCCCTTCCAGCTGCTGCCCCAGCTGCCACACCCCACCTCTGGCTCCGCTCACCTCATCTTTGTGCCCAGCCACACAGGACCCCCCCGGAGACCAGCAGCCCCTCCTCTGGGCTCCCAAGTGGGTGGATTATTCTAGCAAGTATGGCTTTGGCTACCAGTTATCAGACGGGGGCAGTGGAGTCCTATTCCGAGATGGTACCCACATGGCCCTGCGCCCCCCAGGGAGGTAAGTAGTGGGGCAGGCTCTCCCCTCCCCCCTTCCTTCTTCAGCCACTTAGTAAGCACCTGCCGTGTGTACCTACACTGCCTCGTGGAGACGACAATGCGAAACAAACAAATGACTAAGTTGATTTCAGTTGCCGCTTTTCTAAAGGACATGACAAAGACAAGGTGACAGATGGGGAAGGGAGCGACTCTCAGGAGCATGATTGGGGTCCTCTGGGAGGAGGTGACAAGAAAGAGGACCGGAGGCTCACCCCTGCAGCCACCGGGAGCAGTTCGGGCCAAGGCCTCCAGGCAGCTCCGAGCCTGGTGGGCTTGAGGAACAGGGAGGAAGCTGGGGTCAGCAGAGGGTGACCAGGGACTTGATGCTGGAGCCCCTGCAGGCCACAGGAGTGTCTGTGTGGTGGCTGTGGGGGCTGGCAGGGGGCCAGTGTGCAGGAAGGAAGGGCGACTCACCATTGGCTGTGGGTGGTGGAAGGCGTGGCCTAGGCCTGATCCGACAGGAGGATGTGAGGCCCACCGGAGAGGATGCTGAGCAGAGAGAGGGGTGCCGTGGTCTGGAATCAGGCCTGAGGCCACGGTCAGACGTCAGCGGGGCTTCTTCATGTCCAAGGGACAAAATCTGCTTCACACGGGGCCTTTCCAGAGCAAGGATGTCGTTCCTCACGACTTGGGAGTCTGCACCACCCTGGGTGGTGCTAGCACCTGAGCTATCGGCCACAAGCCGGAAGGTCAGCGGTTTGAGGCCACCTCCCCCATGTGTCCCGGCCTGCTCTGCTCTTTCTGTGACTCATAAGGGGTTCTGCCCCCTCCCTGGGCTGACCTCTGCCGCCAAAGATCAGAAACCCCGTTCCCAAGCAAGGCTACGGCAGCAAGGTCGGCGGTCAGTCCCTCGGTGCTCACTGTGTGCTGGTTGGGTGCTGTCTGGTCCACTCTGACATCGGGCCACCCCCGTGTGCAGAACAGGGATACTCCAGAGGGTGTGCCCAGTGGGGACCTGGCAGAGGTGATCACCAGGCCTTTCTTCAACGGCACTGCCTCTCAGGGCATGGTTAGCCTGTGCCCAGGGGCTGGGAGACGTAGCTGAGGGCCCAGGGCCGTCAGCACACTGGCCTGTGGGGCCAGGTCCCTTCAGACGGAGCTGGGCAGGGCTGTGCAGCGGCGTTCTCTCCAGCCAGGTCTGCTACTCGCCTGGCCGTGGGACGATGGCGACCTTCGCGCTGAGGGATGTGCCAGGCGCGCTGGGTGCCAAGTTGGCCGTGCTGCGTCTCTTTACCCGTTACCTGCAGCAGCAGCTGTGGGAGGTGAGACCAGCGGGCATGAGGGTGGGTGGGTGGGGCAGCCAGGGACACACTTGTGGCTGCTCTGTCCACAGGAGGGGTCCTCGCTGGGACCCGTGCCGCTGCCCCTGGGGCCCAGCCTCTGCCTCCTGCGCGTCCTGGTGTCCGAGCAGACCTGCGTGCTCCTGTTCAGTGAGGGGACAGTGCAGGTGAGGTCGAGGGCAGCAGTCAGGGTCCTGGAACCGGGCAAAGCCAGCTTGGCTGGAGTCCTGGGATGCGTCCTAGGAAAGTTGAGAGGGACACCAGACTCAGCCGAACCCCCCGGGACGAACCCCCCCCCCCGGACGCCCCCAGATGCCGGTTGGAACCGCCTGGGTGGCAGTGGGTTTGGTGTTTGGGTCCTGCATGGTGACATTCTGCTCCTGGGAGGGGGTTGCCGGTGGAGAACCATGCTGAGGTCTTGTGGTCCCGAGTGTTGCCGAGGGGTCCAGGGGTCCGGCCGCGGTTCACAGACAAAGTAGAGGGTCTGCAATCAGTCGGGTCGAGGTGGCTGAATGCTGGCCACAGGGACAGGAAGGCCCGCAGCTGGTTCTGCTCTGGGCAGTGAACTGCTCAGTGCTCGCTGCCACTGGCAGGTCAGCGGCTGGAGGCCCCCTGCATGGTGGGAAGGGAAGGACGATGAGCCGGTGGTCGGGGAGTCAGGGCCCCCAGGACAGGGAAGGACTGCCCAGGGGCTTCCCAGGCTGTGGTCTCACAGCAGCAGATTCAAACCGCTGACTTCTTGGATAGCAGCCAGGCGGCTAACCACTGCACCACCATGCTCTCTGGGGCAGCTGGCCTCTGTCAGGGGCCACTGTGGGGTCCCATGGGGTGACTGGGGTGCTCATCAAGGTGCTTCTGGAAGTAGAGGGCACAGGGGGTGCCTGGGGCACTCTTCACTGAGATGAGGGTCACACGGACTCCTGACCGAGGTGGGGGGGTTCACAACTGAGGTGGCTGTGGTGATGGGGTCCTCTGAGCCTCAGTTTCTCCTTGGCCCTGGACTTGGAGCCCTTCTGGGTGGGTCCAGGACCTCTCAGTCCAGGAGGCCCAGGGCTGGGGCAGCTGGGAAGCCTCTGGCCCACACCTTGGTCTCCTCTTGGGCAGGTCAGCTGTAGCAGCCCACAGGTCCAGCTGGTGCTGAGCGGCGAGGGTGACAGCCTGCTGTTCTCCCTGAGGGAACCGGGCCGGCCTGGCACCACCTGCCCACTGGGTGTCCTCCAGAGCCACGGCTGTGTCCCCGCCACCCGCCAGCGCCTTCACCAGGCTCTCCGCATGCTTCAGAGCATCTAGTGGGCCTGAGGGTCAGAGTGGACCTCTGCCGGGCCAGGCACCATTGCTCTCCCTGTGGTTCTCCAAAGGGGTGTCCCTGGGGGCATGTGGGAGCATGGGGCAGGGTCCTTTCCCGGTGGCATGACTGTTGTCCAGACTTTCTGCCTGTTAGTTTTCCATTAAAGAAGCTTCTCTCTGTGTCCTGTGCTCGGCGCTTGTCAACACCAGGGCCCCTGTCATGACCAGGGGACACGTGGTGGTGACGTGGAGGCTCCTCAGGATGGAAACGTTGTTCCCAACTGCCCACGGCCTCTGCCGTCCTCCCTCCCTGCTGGAGGCCGCGCCTGTCACTCTGGCAGGGTGGTTGTAAATGAGCTCGTCCCTGTGAAGGCTCTCGGTGGGGGAGGTTCTGCCCTGGACATTTGGGGGTGTCATGCTTGGGTGGCGCTGCTGACCTGGGGCAGGTGGAGGCCAGGAATGCTGCTCCACGCCCCACAGTGCCAGGACACCCCGCCCTAGAGCAGTCTCAGCATGGACCATGTAAAGACTTTGGGTTCAGACCTGGGTGGGTTCAGACCTCGGCCCACCCACTGCCAGAATGAACCCCGCTGGGTCAGATGGTGTGAACGGGAGGTGGGGGTGGGGGTCATGTGTGCTCCAGCAGCCCTGGTCTCCTCCTGGCCCCTCCTCCCTCCTCCCACTCTGTATGGGTTTCAATGTGGGCAGCGTCCTGCATGTCATCAGATGACCATGGGGTGCAGCGTCTTGGGGCCAGTGGAATCCCTCACACAGGGCCATTCTGCACCAGAGGGCTCTGAGTGACATATGGAGACAACTGTGCTTGTCACAACGGGACATGTGTGCTACTGGCAACGAGGGGTGTGGGCCAGGGGTGTGCCCCCACAGTGCAGAGGGCCCCCACCCCGAGCGGCCTCAGGTCCCTGTGCCAAGGGAAGACCCTGCCTTGGAAATGTGAGCGGAAATAGTTACAGATGAGAAGGCGGATTTCTACCGTCATCCGAAACAAACAATAAAGGTGTAAGAGGCAGTTAGGAGCAGCACCCAGCAGCACCTGGCCCCAGGTGGGAGGTGGGGGGGGGAGCAGCACCCAGCAGCACCTGGCCCCAGGTGAGAGGCGGGGGGAGCAGCACCCAGCAGCGCCCTGCCCCAAGTGCACAGAGTTGGATGAGGTAAAAGTAGCATCTGGGATGGTCCCAGGACTGGTGGAGCCAGGGGGCCGGCAGGTCTCGTGCCTTGGTGTGGCCAGGCATAGGAGAGACCGGCCCTTGGAGATCCCCTGGGAGGAGGCGTCGCCTGCGGAGGGGCCCAGGGGGAGAAGAAACTGGAAGGAGGGGTGTGGGTGGAGAGGGGCCAGGGGCCTGGTAGGCTGGGATGAGGGGTGTGGGTGGAGGGGGAGGGGAAGGCACACATTCCCCTGAGCATTGAGATAAGTCCTCAATGAACCCACTGCTGCTCCACAGAGGAGCCAGGCGAAGCGTCCTACTGTGAAGACTGACAGCCTCAGTGCTCCACAGGGCAGTTCTGCCCCACCCTGCAGGGTGGCTGTGCGTGGGCAGTGAAAGGCGAGTGGGGTCGGACTCAGCCACCCTGCAGACAGGGTCTCCCAGGAGCAGCTGGTGGGTTCAAACAGACCTTGCACATTGGGCGCCCACTCCACACGTTAACCTACAAGGATGCTTTTAAAATGCACAATTACTGCCACTGACGCATCCATATTGTGGTGTCAACACCACTTCTCATTCTAGAACATTCTACCATCACAAGACCTCCATCCACACTAAGCTCTCACCCCTCTGGACAACTACTAATCCACGTCCTGTGCCCATGGATTTCCCGATTCTACATGTCCCATGAGGAGTCCTGGTGGCAAAGCTGGTTATGTGCAGGCTGCTAACCATAAGCTCAGCAGTTCAAAACCACCAGTGGCTCTGCAGGAGAAAGACAAGGCTTTCTACTCCCAAGAAGAGCTACAACCTCGGAAACCCACGGGAGCAGTTCCACCCTGCCTGCAGGGTCGCTGTGAGTTGGCGTCGACTCGGTGGGGGTGGGTTTGGTGCAGTTTGAGACCTGCCGGTGTAATCAGACTCCATGAGGCCTTTTGGAGGGTCATGTACAGTGCTGTGATATCCCACTGTATGCATGGACCACATTTTGTTGATGTACCGGTTGATGGCAGCATGATGTTGGGGTCACAAAAGACAGAAACTGCCCCGCGTGAGGTCAGTGGGAAGTTGGGAGTGAGGGTGCGGGTGCCCATCTCTGAGGCCAGGTCATCAAAGGCACTGGAGCGCCCTCCTTGCTGTCTCTCGGATCACGAGCTCTGGAGGAAGCCGGCCGCCATGTGGTGTGGAGGCCCCAGCAGCTCTCTGGAGCTGTCTACCTGGAGAGGCACGGGGGCTTCCAGCGGCAGCCGTGTGAGGGAGCGCCTCAGACAGGCTCCTGCGGCCCCACTCAAGCCTTCAGATGAAGCTTCTCATCTCGGCTGCAACCTCCTTGAGACCCTGAGCTCAGCCCAAATCCTGCCCCACGAGCCCTCTGGGAGCCAGGTGTGAGCTGTCACTGAGGGCTGGCACAGCCATGGACCACTGTCAGAGATGTCTCAGCTCCATTTCCACCCAGCATGTGGCTGAGGGGGGGGGGAGGGGGCCTCCAGGAGGGAAAGAGGAAGACCGACCATCTCCGGCATGCCTCCCTGTGCATCTTGCAAAATGACCTACCTAGAATGTTTATTTCCATCTGTGTGTGGGCGTCAGAGCCGCAACAATCTGTGAGCATCTCCCACGCCCGGGCCCACAATGGTGGCTTATTCAAAATAAGCCAGCGATGCATTAATTCTGTAGCATGCCCCCCCCCCCCCCCCCCAGCCGCATGTCTTCAAGAGAGGGCGCGGTGCCCACTCCGCCCTCACACTGAGAGTTTCTGGACTCCTCACTGGGTGGGGGGTCAACAGTGCATCGAGGAATGAAATGCATGCCAATGAATCCATCCAGCCCTGGCCAGAACTTTTGCATGTGTTTTTAATTTTTCCCTTCCCCTTTCTTTTTCAGAACAAGCCACTAAGCACATCTTGAATTCTGCAGAATGAGAGAAAACTTGGCTTCTTGAGAGCATTTCCTGGGTCAAGCTGTATCCAGGCCCCTAGCCCAAGTATCAAGAGATCAAACGACCCATTGCATTGAATAACTCTGCAGCACAATACCTCTTTAATGTGTTGACAAGCAAGGATGTTGCTGTGAGGACTAAGTGCACCTGACCCAAGCCATGGTATTTTCCATTGCCTCATCTGTATGTGCAAGTTGGTCTTGGAATAAGGAAGACGGAAGAGAAACGAATGCATGTGAGCTGTGGTGCTGGTGAAGCATCTTGAAGGGACCATGGACCGCCACAAGAACAAACAGATTTGTCTTGGAAGAAGCACAGCCAGAGTGCTGCCTAGGGGCAAGGATGGCGAGACTTTGTCTCACGTACTTTGGACACGTGGTCAGGAGAGGCCAAACCCTGGAGAAGGCCATCGTGCTTGGTACAGTGGAGGGGCAGCGGCACAAAAGCAAGACCCTCAATGAGACGGGTGGACACAGTGGCTGCAATAACGATCTCAAACACGCAAACAATGGCGAGGACGGCGCAGGACAGGGCCGCGGTCCATCCCCTCATACGTGGGTCTGCTTTGGGTCAGAGCCAATTCCACAGCACCTGACAGCCGCCCCGCACGCCATCTCCCCGTTGGACATCCGAGGAGACTGAGGTGTGCGGGTGTCCTTCACAAGCAAGCTGTAGGTCACCCCTGGCTGCCTGTCAGTATTTACCATGGAGATGTTTGTGAATGGAGAGGGCTCGAGACACTTGCTGATGAAACCCAAAGAAGCCCTTCCTCTTTTGCACTGACCCTCTCGCAAGCATAATGTCCTTCTACAGGAACTGGTCACTCAAGAACTAGTCCACTTGAGACAGAGTTCTGCCGCTGTTTTGCCTAAGGAGCATTCTGTGCGACGTCAGTCACGCCAAAGGAACACGGTAAGACCATGAGTCGCCTGAGTTGGGACAACTGTTAGCTCAGTTCCCGTGACACGAGCTCCCTGAACAGAGCAACGCACTCTAGGAGAAGGCATTCCGTAAATGCACAGATGGCAGTCTTGGCAGAAGCGATGTGCACAGGGAAACCAAATCTGCATGCAGACTAAGTGTCTATCCCAGTAATAGCAAAACACTGCTATTTCCATGCTGGAAGTGGGCCAATGTAATCCACCTGCCACTGGTTGTTGGCTGTTCACACTTGGGAGTGGCGTTGTACTGGGGCTCAGAGTTGGTCTCTGTTATGGGAAGCTTGAACGCAATGGCTGTGGCCAAATCCGCCTTGATGGGTACAAATTCATGTTGCTGAGCCCATGCATAGCTTGCATCCCTGCCACCATGGCCGTGTTGTTTATGAACGCATTGGGCAATGACAGGAGTGGCTGGGGAAAGAGGATGACTGGTACCCACATAATGCATTATCCTTTTTTTATTTGATTGTTAAACTCCTCCTTTGCTTAGTACCCCTTTGGTGAACATTCACATGAGACACAATGATCTTCACATTATTGGCCTATTCAGAGAGGTCTATCCACATGCTTCTTCCCCATACCTTCTGTTACCTATTTTCCAATTATTTTCTTTCCAAGTCCCTGCCCATCCAGCCAAACCACTGGCCACAGCCCAGGTATCATACAATCATACAACTGACCACCGCTGCTTCCAAAAAAAATGAACAACCATGGTCACCGCTCAAAATTCTGCCCATTGGAAGGCTTTACCTCACCACTGACCTCCAGGAAGGCTCCAGAGAGGGCCCACAGTGCTGCCGGCCACACAGAAACATCTGTGAGCCCAACCTCCTTTTCTCCTTCCTAGGCAATGGCTTCTGAGGAACTCCCCTCAGGGCCGTCAGTGCCGATGGGTTGAGGGAAGGTCATGGGACAGGAGGGGAGCCCACATGCCACTTCTTCAGATAGCTTACTGGTACCTTCAGGCCCTGCTCAAAACCCATGTGGTATACACCATTTCCATTTAGTGATGGAGTGCGAGTAGACACTTCCCACCGGTGACTCTGTGGTCCAGACAGCGAGAAGTTCAAGATGGGCATTCTCTACAAAGGCTGTTTGTTTACCACAAGGAGATGCGTTATCGGCGGAGGACGGCA